CAGCAAGGCACCAGACCTGCAGGAGTTTGTTTATGGTTCAGATGGTTTAATCACCACTACTCTGCTTCCTGTTCCTCTGAAACATCCAAGATTCCTCCTAAGCACTGAACAGAGACAAGCAATCCCTTAATCTTGACATTTTAGGTTTACGCTCAAATTACAGAAATTACACTAAATAAACAATTCATGGAATGATATTGGCCAGAGATTATCTGGACGTCATGATCTGCAACCTCTGAAAAACACCCCTGTGCGCGCCTTCTCTTTTACTCTTTGGTACCACGCTTCTAAACAGCCGGCAAACACACAGTGGGATCCACGACTTACCCCCTGGTGACTGGGCATGGCCACGGAAGTAAGCACATCAGCCATGGCTCCCAACATCTGGTCAGTGCGTCCCTGATTCTTCTGCAGAGCTTTCATTCTCCCCAGGCGGAGAAGCAAAGGGTCCTCAAACGTCTCCCGGCTGCTGTGACCCTCTGGCTGTCGGTGTTCTCTGTCTCTCGTGTGCTCTTTGCCTCTGCTCCGTCGGCTCTTGTCTCAGCTGTCCCACAGTTTGGAGCCGAGCCGCCGCAGCCCGCCTCGTTCTAGCCTGACACACACAGGGAACCTCACGCATGTGAATAACTGATCTTGGAAGAAGGAGGCATGTTTTCGTCTGGACGGCAGCCGCAGAGCTCTTTTCCTCTTCGCCCGTCTCTCAACTCGACGAAGTCAGACGCAGGTAAACTGACCGCAGGCGTCCTGAACTCTGGCTTATTTTAAAAGAAAAACGGCCACCATGTGCGCCAAATAGAAGCTTACCCTGTAAATTCAGTTTTCAGATTTTCTCGGGCCTTCTTCAGCAGAACAAACTTTCCTCTTCAATGTCGTCGCTCTGAGTCAGGAGTCCAGGCGGCGTGGAGGTATTACTCAGCGGGGTTGGGCAACTCCTGTCCGTCCGTCTGAATGCTGAAACGGTGAGCCATGACTTCCAAACGGAGCACATCATCCACCCTGAAATCCTCCTTTCTTGTTCTTCATTGGCTATAGAGGATCACCACCCCCCTTTCCGAAACCTTTGCTCCTTCACTCGTTCTTTCTCCTCTTTCATTTTATCCTCGTTGACCTAACTTTTTTCCCCCAACCTCAAACCATCTCGATCTGTTCTCCAGCTCTCTCTTTCAGTCGTTCTTTGAACGGTCCTGGCACCCTGCAGTCGCGCTTCATCTTTGCCCGAGTCTCAGGCAGTGACACATGGATTGTGTGAACTCTTGAGCAGCCCCAAATAAGGTATAAATACACAGTCCATGACGCTCAACTATTTAAGAGACTGTCTCACACACACATATTACACAACATCTTTAACAGCTCGAGTACTTGAATCATACCAGTAGTGTTTGTGTGTGGCTACTTAATTTACTAAATATATTTACAAATAACAAACGTTGGCGCATATGGATTATATTATCCAGAGAGACTAGGTTCAGTGATTTCCTTTATTTTAAAATCCAGTCTCATACGTAACTGTAAATAAATATCTGGTTGCATTTCGTGAGCAGTTTCCCTTCAGACATAACAGACTATACAAATAGGGTATCAAATTAAGGCCGCCTGTGATGTAGAGTCCAGCTATGCCTGGAATTTGCAGGTGTATACTGGGAAACCTCCCCCTAGGGAAGCAACTGGGGATAATCAGGGCATGAGGGTGTACTAGACTCGGTCGAAGGCTTGAAAGGTCATGTGATCACATGTGATCTTACATCATGGGCGAGGAGCTGCTGAAAAGCCAGCTAACCCGGCCCCTCGTTGGGGACCGGATGAAAAATCAAAATACAGCCACAGCATGAAGTCATTAACAACAATTCTTTTAACCCCATTCTATGAGATTTGATGGTGATTTGAACATTCTTGCATAGTCATTCAACAGATGCACTCGACGTGTAAATTATTTTGAGGGGGGAGGAAGGTATATTTCGTCTTAAGGGGTATTGAGGTAGTCAACAAGCTGAAAACAGAACTGTAAATTGTGGTTATAATCCCAATTACAATAACTATGTGGATGTTTACACTGCTGGGTTCAAGTTGAAGCCAATGTGAAAATAATTACCGGAGGGTTTAAAAAACATGGTTGCTAAAAAGATGCTATACTTTTTTACCATGTGTCGGGATCTCCAATCCCCCCGAGTTGGTTGATGAGAAGGATCCAGCACGTTGATCAATTAAAGTCAAAAAGTTTACATTTATTTAGATTACATGAGCAATTCTCCGCAGATATCTGGCTCTAGCTATTGCTTGCAAGCAGGAGGTCAAACACACCAGCACGTATTCCAGCGTTCTGTGTAATGGCGTCTCCGAGCAGTAAAAACGCTTAGTTTCTATACACATAAAGACCGTCCTCAGTGTTACTATCTTAGAATTAGCTAATCAGCGCTAGACACAAAGTAGAGATAAGGCTTTTGGGAGAGTCCTTAGCTTTGCACATATTTGTTCACAAATTAAATAATTTGACGAATTCCAACTTTGGTATGATGACGCCAGATGAAAAGCCATGTGATCACCAAACACATTAGAATTAATCCATTCATCTGTCAAAAATACTTTTCTCAAAACCACCGGTGTCAACTTGGTGCTTTCACCAAAAGTCAAAGGAATCAGCCACTACAGCCCACGAATGCTGAGAAAAAGTCTCTTTCACTGACACTACAAGTGTGAGGTTATACAGATCAAATAATTCAGAATAATAATTAAGTCATCACAGTTGCAAGAAGGAAAGAAATGTTTTAAAACAGGAAAAACATACAAAATCTAGATAAGAAATAATTAATGGTAAATCCATATTTGTCTTTTTATCACTTAAACTCTGTAAATCCTTGTTAACTTTCTGAGACAGTTGAGTACTTCCAGATTGCAGACAGTCCAAAATGCTGCTGCACAAATATAATTAGACAACCTCAGTCAGAGTTTTAAAGTTCCCATGAGTCCCAGTGCTGCCGGAGATCCTCATGCAGTCCAAGCCGAGAGTGATCGGGCAGAGGCCACCCTGGTGTCTTCATTTGAGTCCTGCTTTAAATATTCTGTATTTTCCACCCTCTGATTGGGGGTCTCTTCTAATTTAAAGGTCACATTTAAAGCAAAGTAAAGAACTCTCAAACAGAAAATACCTGGTAATACTATTGCCTTACTTTTTTTCTACTTTAAATAATGTTCCATTACTGTCACTCTGTGATGTTCTGTTGTGGAATCGTTGGTTGACAATGTGTTACTCATTATGTTCTGCACCCTCTGTTTTTCAGGTTCTTATGCTAAATCTCATGTCTTTTCTCATCTCAGGTTGATAATAATATTCATGCAGTGTTTTGTGTGCAATCCAATATTATGTTAGTTTTTGTAAAATATTAAGAAACCCATTTCAAATGTTTCATATTATACTAAATAAACAGGTGTGTTGTTTTCTGATTGCCTCGTGTGTCTTAAGTTAAATTGACTCCTCCTCCGGGGTTGTTAGTTCTTCTGTGTTTTGGACCTCTGTTTGACTGATGGCTCAATGCATTTTATGCATTTGGACAATTCATTTCTATAGTGTGCACCAGCTGCTGGTCACACCTCCCCCCCCTCCCTTGGGTCAAAGCACAAACACCCCAAACTTCCACTTCACGTCTAACTCATTTCTGGCAAATCACACATTCTCCTTCTTGTCTTAGATAAACAAGTTTAACTCTGTTTCCTCCCGCCTCCTCCCATTCATCTGATCCCTTTAGGCTTTTAGACACTTTAGAGCAAGTACAGCATGAGGGGGTTCCGTCTTTTAACCAAATAGCTGGAAATAATATAGCAGATGCTCACAGAGTCTGAGTGAAGTGCTGGTTAGAGAGACTGCCAACAGACTAACATTAGCAGAGCACATGGCTGTCGTTCAGAATCAGTCACTAAGCTGGCTAAACTTAGTTAATTGCTTCCCAAGCCTCTTTCCAAGTTCTATTGCTCTACCACTGACCTCTGCTGGGTACTTTGGTGTCTGGGGAGAAGTTGGACATCCTTTTGCAGTGATGAGTGAACGACTCAGTTTGGAATTTGCAGAATAGGAGAAAAATAACTTGTTACCTTAAAAGGAAAGCGAATATCCGGCAGGAATAAGAACAAAATGTCCCTCAACTCTTGCTCGTACAGACGTTGTTTGCACAAAATCGTGAGTGATTTTCTTTTGAGATAAACACAAAATGCTGCTGCTGAAGTGTGCAACGTGTGTGGTGCTGCCCTCGTCTGGTGCAGCTCCTTGGATAGTTCTTCTTTATCTGACAGGATGAAGGAAAAAAGCACACACCACTACTCCACCCTGTTGTGCCAAACTGACATCCCTTTCCTCTACATTTATCGAAAAAAAAAAATCTGTTTTGTCTTTTCACAAGCTATAAATCCTCCCCCCGAAGCATGCCCTTTACTTCCTCTTCCTCAGTTTCATATCAGTAAGAAGCCAAGACCACCTCGGCCTCTTATGTTTAAACATATTGCCTTTCGAGTAATGGATCAGGTTATTGTGATGCCGTGGGTCTGATTTGGTGGTTGAAAGCCAAAGAGACCTAATAAGTCATTGAATAGATTTTGTGGGATTATGTTGATGGAGGTGTGTCCACTTTAGATGGTTGGCATTAACAGCATGTCTGTTGTTGTGCAATTGTGCAAAATGAAAACAAGACGTGTCTTTCTGTAAGGCTGGAATCCTCAGTGAGGATTATTTTGATGTACAGAAACAGGGTTCACGTCAAAACGTCGCAGTACCCACTTTGATCAAAAGAGGACGGTGTATCCCACAAACAGAGAGGAGTCTTTTCATAAGACAGGCAACATTCTATTTACATGCACCTTTTCGTGCCCCCTGATTGATGCTGTGATGCCATGAATCAACCGATATTCCGCGACCATCAAAACAAAAGCAAAAAGCTTGAACCCACATGAAACTAGTGAGAAGGTCAATTCATCTGGTTTCTTATGATTTGAAGTTAAAGGTTTTGGAATCTTTCATGTATATATGCAATGGTTAAGAAGACCATATTTCAACTGACGCGTCACAGAATGTCCATGTGTTTCCATGCATGTCTGAGTGTGTCACCCCTTTAATGGGAATAATTACTAGTAAGTAAGGCCCCCTGGCTTAAAGTAACAGCAGGGCTATTTTTTTTTTTTTCCCCAACAAATGGATTTCCATGGAAAACCCGGCCCGAGAGGCTGCAGACACACAGAAATTATTCAGGCAGGGGGTCCTCGGCAGCAGATTTAGAACCCATAGCCTCCATGGTTCAGCCACAGCACTTATTTGGACACTTAACAGAGGTTTTCTCTGACACAACAGACGGGCAGCTGAGGGCTGTGGATGGACATATTCAGAGAGAGATGAGAGGGAAGCTGACTAGCTCAACAGACTGTCAGGGGAGCAAGGTTGGCTGTTTCTTTCTCTTAATCCTTAAATCTTCTGTAATCGGGATGAGGCGGAGAGAGCATGTTGCCTGACTTAGGACGGCAGAGACTATGTTGGGACTATGTTTGCCCGGATTGCAGGCTGATGAGGCATCCTCACTGGCCAGCAGGAGCGATGGAGGGAGCGGGACGGCATCCAGCCAGAGACAGTTTGGAAACGTTAACCTAACCAGTTTCCAACGAGAGTCCACGAGAAGAAGGGAAGTCCAATTAATGAGCGTGGTTTAACCTCCGAGAGCCATTTAAAAAGAAAAAGAAAGAGAAGAGGACTTATCCACGGATGGTTTTAGGGTAAGAATTTGTGTTTACTATTTGCTCTAAGATATTTTTCACTTTGCTTGGGCACAAATTGTTACATTTTTCCTCCCCAGATCACATTTAGGATCAGAGGAAGACGCCTAATACAAAGTGCTTCTCAGCAGGAAGTGTAGACCACAATGGCACAGTTGAAACAGGAGCACTCCACATTTGCACAGGAAGGGAGAGAAAAAATGTGTGTGATTGTAATCTTCATTCTTCTGCATGGCACAATGGGGAAAAGGGAACATGTGTTTGTGGGATTAAAGGAGCTGAGCAGTTCTATCCGGCATTCAGAGAGAGTTTATCCAAAATATGCTATTAATTATGGTATATATCACTAATGTATTGTTAAGCAGCCTGTTCAGTCTGTGTTTTACTTGTTTGCTACTTTGGATAAAGTGTGTGTGTGTGTGTGTGTGTGTGTGTGTGTGTGTGTGTGTGTGTGTGTGTGTGTGTGTGTGTGTGTGTGTGTGTGTGTGTGTGTGTGTGTCAAGACAGCTTGAAGACTGAGACCCCTCAATCCCTCACTGGAGAGCAACCAAGCTCTTTCTCAGGCTCAAAACATTAGGAGTGACTAAGTCTATCCCATCCTGAGCCTGAGCCTTGAGAAAAATGTCCTCCGAATACCCTCTATACAAACATAACATTCGTATTTCATCGATTTATGCCAAAGAACCACTGGATAGCCGAGTGCACTTCTACTGCTCAGCAGTGTGACTCAACAACGACTCCATGACAGATGCTGTCACTCGCTCGCCTCTCATTGCTTCCGGCACCATATGGCCTTTCTCAGCCCAGTACACATCTCCCACGATGCCCTCACTTACATGACTTTCACAGACGGATATATATGTATTGCACATCTTTATAGATGTCCTGGGTATTCATTAGTTACAGGAGTTCTCACAGTCTTCGGTTCTATAATGGGCTGAGCGAGGGAATAGGATTTGGCAAGAAGCATGTTGCACAGTCAGCTTACGCCTCTCGTAACTTAAGACTTATGGATCAGTCGCTCTGAACGGGAGGGCAGAGGTGAGGTGAAGCACCCCCTCTTTGAATCACCCTGCGTCACGCACGAGGCCCCCACGTGTCGGATCAGATCTCTTCACTACGTTCGCAGCTTCAAAATCTGCCAATGAATGCTGTCATTCTTGGATTCACGCTCCCATTAGATGTTTATTTTGAGAGATGGAATCATGTCCACGATCACAACTACGGATGCTCTCTTGTTCAAGATGTAGATGGTGAGCCGCGGACCCGACAACTGGGTGTGAACGCGGGCCGGAGGGTGACCAATGGCCTCTGCGAGTTACGACCCCCACCTGGGCGCCGGCCCGTCTGACGACTCGGTGATCCTCCTGGATGATGATTCTGACTCGGGCAGTTTGCTCTCAGACGACTCGGTGCTTCCCGACTATGAAAGGGATGAAAAGCACACAGAGCCGGCTAAATCGCTGTATGAGGCGTGCGCTAGGAACGAGCCCGCGTCCCTGCGCAGGATCATGGAGAGAGGGGTTACTAAAGAAGAGGCCAATGAGCTGGACATCAATGGCAGGGTGAGTTCCGTTACATTTGGAACAACGAAAAGGCTTTCATGTGTGTTATGAAGGTGCATTTATTCCCACATTGTTCCCTCTCAGAATGGACTGATGTTGGCTGTGGGAAAAGGATTCATAGACATTGTCACCATGCTGCACGTATGTCCATTAATAGACATCAACCACCAAGACAATGATGGCAACACGGCCCTCATGATTGCTGCTCAGGCAGGTACGTCCCGTGACCCCATAACCTCAACATCCGCTCTGGATTCATCGACTTTTTCACATAACGGTGTTTTTTTCTTCCACAGGTTTTGTCACTATTTTAAACTACATCCTTAACTTCTACTCTGGTGTGGATACGGAAGTCAGAGATCCCCGTGGCTTCACAGCTCTAATAAAGGCCGGCCTACAGAGCCGAGAAGAGTGTGTATCCGCCCTGTTAATGCACGGTGAGTCCATGTTACATAAGACCCCCCCCAGTAAACTTTGGAGGAGGAACATCTGGTGCTGGTGTCCACACACGGACAATAGATTTATTCAAGAGCAGTAAGTGCAGGTTCTTACATGTGCAGACCAACTATTGTCTTCACTTCATAATTAGCCAGGATAATAAGAACTTTGGACGTCATGTGTGTTTGATTTAGAGGGTGATCTGGTCCTTCTCTCTCCAAACATGTTCTAAGTTAAATTATGTCAGAGACTTTACAGAACAGAGCCGTGTGTAAAATAGAAATGTATGTCTGGTACTCTTGGTTATGTTTTTGAGCCTTGATTATTCATCAAGAGGGTCATCATATTCTTTGAAATAAGCAAATGTTTCTCCAATAATAAAACAACAGAGTAGTAGTAGAACTCTGGCTTGGTTTTAGTAAACATTCTTCACCGGATTGCAATCCATATCCTGTCCCACCATGCTGTGAAATGCCCTGGTTCCCTTTTGGAAGTGTTGCGCTGTCCATCTACCACGATGAAGTGTGCTCCAAAAGTGACCACATGGTGGGGTCATTTCACTGAAGGAGCATTTGATTCCCACCCGTCCCTCAGCATCCAATGATTATTATTTTTCTTTCATTCTCTCCCCTTTTCATGCACAGGTGCAGACATGAATGCCATGGATCTGGTCCATGGGAGAGGTCTAAAGGACTGGATCCTTAGGACAGGAGGCTTTGACACCCTTTACAGAATCCGCCGCCTGCAGGCTCAGTCTGTCGCCGAGCAGTTCTGCGACAGCTACATTCCTGAGTGGCCTGAGCTGAAGCAACTGGTGGCAAAGGCCACGGCCGTCAAAACAACCAGTCAAAAGCTGCGGCAGTGCATTAAAGACAGTCTTTCTTTCAACTTCCCGCATGACCCCGAAGACAATGGGGTCTTGGACCATATGGTGCGGATGACCACGGGCATCCACAGCCCCCTGATAGCCACCGGTTGCCGTCCGCTGTGCCCCTCGAGCCCCCCGGAGGTCGGCAAGCCGCGGTTTTCCGTGCCCGAACTGCTTGAAAAGCACAGCAGCATCGAGCTGGAGGAGAAGGCCGTGTCCCACAGTAAAGGTTCCATCACCGCCTCGTTTTCTCAGGCTGAAGTGTCGGCAACCTCCGTGTCTCTGACCTCGTGCTGCCAGGACACAGAGCGCGGCGAAAGCGGGGCCTCGGGAGGCATCAGGAGCTTCATTCCCTGCAGCGCGGCACACAGGAACAGCATCATCCCCTCGGGATGCATTCCCAAGATTGAAATAACAAAATCGGGGGAGCCCACTCCAAAGAAGGAGAAAAAGAAGAAACGGCAGAAGGGCTACCTGGAGCCTCCTGTCTGGAAATACAAGGAGGCTAAGGAGGAGAAGAAGAGAGAGAAGAAGGAGCAACAGGAAAAAGAACAGGAGAAAAAGCAGAAGGGTTCCAAACGTTCAACGGGCCAAAAATGAAGCGTTAGTCGCATTTCCTCAGAAGGTTTCACTTTGACCAGGGAGGGATGGGCTTATGTCATAGGAGTGAAGCCTGTTTTAACAGAATTAGGAAATGGCAAAACCATTTTGGAAGGAAGCGATTAACAATTGATGGATTTGAACTTTGATGAACTGAAAATAGTGAACCAAATATTCTCTGGTTTTGGAGACATACTCCAGAGTGTGTCCTTGACTCTTGGTAAATTAACTCATGGGAATGCCAAGACCTGCAATGACAACATCATTTGTGAAGAACCCATATGTGAGTATTTTACAAATCGCGCTATTGTGACTGATGGTATTTAACTGCACGACTACCAAACGAATAGCAGATACTGTTAATACAGTTCAATGGAGCAATGGCCTTAAGCAAGTTCAAGACACCGACAAACCGCCTGCTTTGCTCGTCTACGCCACGGCCTCCAAGGGACAGCGGTTGCTTTTTACTAGACCATAAATATCTGTCAGCACACAACTATTGTAAGATTCATGAACCACGGTTCTTTTTTACCTGTGCGATGGGAGCAACACTGTGGGAAACGATTCAGGAAGCAGGAAAGGAATCCCAGCTTTGACACATCGTCTTATTGACGTCTCCACTGCTCACTCAGCGGGCAACATTTAAATATGCTGGTGTGTTTCCTACAATCCCTCAAAAATGACTGCCAGGTCATTTTTTCATTTTATATAAATGAAATCAGTCACCATTTTGTGATTTAGTCAACACTCACTTCAATCTTCATAGTATGCAACATATAGCTTTTACCGGATGCCTTTTATCATTCCTTTCTTAAAATCATTTTAATACTCAAAACTGTAAGGCTGCGGCATGAGAATGAAATTAGCCGTGAAGATGCAGAGAAATTAGATGTACTGTTTGTACACAATGTCACTCAGGAAAAATGTTGTGATACATCGGGCATTATATCTTAAAAATCCGTTGAGGAGTGAGCATCTGTTTTGTGGTCCAGCATTGGGTCAGTAAAGAATATTCTGTGTATAGATCAACTTGGTAACTGATGCAATTACAATGTCTCAAGCTTTCATTGCAAAACCTGTTCTAACTAAAGCAAATTATGAATTATTTATTATTGAAATAATGTGTAGATACTGTTTTTACAAACGTGACAGCATCATTTCTTGGTTTATTTATTTTTAAGTGGAAGCAAGAGACAACAGTTTAAATCCTGTACATCTTGATAGTATGAGGGAGATGAAAATGTGTGTTTTTATGAAACCTTGGAATAAATGTACTAACTTTCTTAAGTGAATTTGTTTTTCTACACTTTGGGGATCTTTGGGGGGTCACAGAACCTAATTCATATTTATTGTTCAGTAACTGAAAACAAATAGGGTTTTAAGATCGTGCCTGTTACACAACTCACTGAAACATTTCCCTATTTGATGATAGTGATTCATTTAATTTACAGGAAAGTAATTCATCATTTCCTCAACAGGCATGTGTGTGATGGATGAGCCTCTTTTCTGGCACGTAACCATGGTAACCCTCTCCCAAAGTTACTTTGAGCTCCTTAAGGAAGCCTATAATGCGCTCTTTGGAGTGGCCTGAGATGGCTTTTGAACTCATCTATAATCCTTTAATCCAATCCACACTTTAGTAGCTTTTATTTGCTGTAACATAAAATCAAAATAGCTATTTTGATGTGCTCAAAAAAGTAGCATTGAAGATATGAGCATTCAATTTTTTCTTTGTAAACCTTTCATTTCCTGTTTTGAAGTTCTTCACTTCAACAGAAAGCTAGCAAGTTCAACTTTTTGACATTATTTCAGCATTCTGGCTGACTTCCTCTTCTCGGGAGGGACACGGTGACTTGAGGTCAACTCTAAAATAAAACCTCTCTAGACTTCAATAAAGGAACGCATTGTACTTTTAATGCATCTACGAGGACAAAGACGGTAAAGAACTAACCTCATTCAGTTAGAACACATAGGCTGGACCAGATTTCACAAATCCGGACTTCTGAGAATGAGACATCACACTGTGAAGCACAAATACCAGCTGTGTGTCAGTTAACCTATTTAATATATGCTTCTAACAAACTGGAAGCTGAGCAAGGTCTTCCCTTTACTAGGGAATTTGCTCATGAAAAACTCACAGAAGGAAAACATGTCGGGTAAAGTTATTCACAAAATAACAATAATTCGTTATTCAACAAAATATACGCTTTTATAAAAAAACAATTCCCACAAAGGGAACGAGACAGTGTGGCTAGTTGACGTAAGATTGGGAGAAGTTCTGATTAAAAAAAGAACGATGGAAGAAGATTTGCTCTTTTTTTTCCTCCATGACAGCTGATGTGAGAGCGTCCAGCTGTTTCTTAAGTCATAAGCCAAAAAGTGAAAGATTACAGAGCCTGAGAACAAGGGTGTGATTTATATTACAGACCTATTGGCATCTTTCTCAGGCTCTGAATGAAGTGTTATTAGACAGCCGGTCGGTCTAGCATCTAATGGACTGATGCATTTGCCATTAAGAGACACTTTGACAGCCATAATTAAAATAACAGAACTGCCCTTCAGATTTAATTGCAAGGAAACAGAATTTATTTAGACCAATATAAATCTTCCTAAAGTTCCATGTCATGTGTTTTTTCTTGTTATTAATTTAAATGCATGTTTTACCTTTAATGTACGGGGTCATGTGCAGAGTTTGACATTGAGGCTGTTTTCCCAGTTGTCTTATTTAAGGGAGAAAATGTCTTTATGCTAACATTGAATCTCAGTTCAACACTTGTATGTATGAGCATGATTTAATAAAATAACAACTACTGTCCTCTGGGAGTTCTTTGTGGGCAATTAGAGCATTGTGGAAAGTTTCATTGAGTTAGGAGACCGTTTATGTCCAGCAGCCAAAGCAGCCATAATGGATATTTTTAACAATGTAGCACATGGCAGCTTGGAAACTCTGGTAAATGTCGGTGGTGGTGAGCTTCTGCAGCACTGTTTGCTGGTGAGGTCATGAGCCCGAAGGAGACATCTCCAGATGTTTATAACCATCAGGGAGGAGATGGTGAGAAGCTCCACTCAGCTTCACTGCTCTCATTTCATTTCTGTCGGTCAGCTGTTTTCATAAAATAGCTTTAAAAAAACATTTAGAGCATTTAGCATCTAATGAGCCAGATCTCCATCCAGAGAGTTGGGGGGGAAAAAAATGTTTAAAAGACCAGAGCCGATAGAGACTCAATATTAGAATTCTTTGGATGGAAAGCAGCACAACTCAAAAAGTTTAATATCAAAACAAGCAAACCTTTGCAAACAATAACAACTGTTTCCGTTACTGTATAAATTGGAGGATGCAAACTGCAAAGGAGTGCCTGTTGTTTTTGAATGCAGACGTGTTATTATTATGGGGTCCGAGGCACATTCCTCTCGGCGCAGCGCAGACAGCAGTCCGCGGGGGGAAAGAGGAAAATGAGAGGTTCAGCAACAGGAAAACCGCTGCGAGAACACATTCCAGGCCCAGCGGACCCCGTGCGGGACAATACGGGGTGGGACCAAGCTGCGTGAGACGTCTGTAATCTCGCCTCCACATCGACTGGTCGGTTCGCACCGAGGTCCCGCGGAGACGCGCCTGCGGTCTTCGAGGCGGAAGCAGTCTGCTTCCAAAGCGACGACGTTTATCAGCGCAGATTTGGGTCGAGATGAGATAGCTGGTCCTCACGGCGCGTTTTATCTCCTCCTCTTCAAGTTCAGGCAGCACTTCTCCTTCTTCTTCTTCTTGGGGTTAAACAAGTGGGGCGGGGTTTTTTATTGGACTTTTTTAGCAGTAAGGAAAAAACTTCGAGCGAACTTTTTCCCCCCACGGCGCCTTCGGAGAGGATGTGAACATCTGCAATTGAGCCGCTGAGACGAACCAAGTACAACGACTCACTTCCACCCGCGACAATGGAGCCATTTGCGTTTTAAAGCGTCTTCCACGGCCGACCGCTTGTCATACTTTGTACCACAATACTCCCACGGAGGGACGGAGATACTTCAGCCAGCGGTGACATGCGAGACGCGGGACGTCTGTGTCTGTCCGCTTAAAGAGACTATAACACAGGTAAGGCTCTATGTCTGTGTGTGTAACTAGGTGAATTATTATTAACTAGGTTAATAATAACACAGCTAACAGTGGGTGCCATGTCACGCTGTTGACTTGATTCCACGTGTTTACAGATGTGAACCAACAGGTGTCAAAAAAGTGGCGTAGCTGACCTGAAGATAAACTCACAGCAGGCTCGTGAAGGCATCTTTAGTGACGTCATACATCCTAAAAGAACAGGGCGGCCATACATTCGTAGTTATTGGCCTTTGTGGAGGTATTGTTATTCTTCGTTTGGTTCTGCTTACACCTGCTCCACTGAATTTCCCACTCAATTCATAAATCATTTGCTTAATTCTAACTTTACAAAATGTATCTTATTGGACACATAGTCATGTGAACAACTAATAAACAAATCAATCAATAAAGTAGATAAATTAGCAATATTAGCTTATTGCAGATGTTGTACTGTGGTCTAAATAAGAAGAGACATAACATTCAGAAATGCAAAATAGTTTTGACATTTGATTCAGAAGTGTGTCCACAAGATAGCACTGACAAAATTATTTATTACCCATAAAATATCATGTTACATATCTGTCACTTTTTTTTCAAGTTTATGTGTCCATGTCATTTCATTCATTTTTTTCCCACCATAATACATCTGTGACCTTTACCGTATGTGAGGTATCAGTTCTGATCCGGCCACCTCATAATTTAGAAAAATGCAAAAAGGGGCTGAGCAATGAAACCGCGCACACTTTGTTTTGATAAATGCATTTATTATTGACAAATATGAAATTCGCAGCTGATGAAGAAGATAGCGATATGGCACAGGGCACCGAATTTGATGGACTGACATCAAACCACAAATGTGGCAAGATCTAGGAGGTCACTTCGCTGGCAGGAGGGAGATTTAGCGCCAGCTTTAAACTTTAAACTCAAATCCAGCCAGCTTGAACCCGAAGCGTCTCCGGAGTAGGCCGTATGTTTTCCTCCTGGCTGTGACATCTCATCGCAGAAAGGAGCAGGTAGCCAGCTGCACTACAAGCCTGCTGTTATGCTCATTTTCTGTAAACATTAGCGCGATAACATGGAGGAATTAGCAGGATAATGTTAGCTAGCTAACTTAGATGGTAAATCCGCCGCGCTGGGATTGTAATGCTGCATGATGGTTAATTATTTCATAACGCAGATTAGTCACAAACAGTCTTGAGCCATAAAAGGCAGAATTCTACAAATTTTCAAATTCATACAAGCTTTTTCACGGTGCAGAACCGTCGTACGTGCTGCAGGTTTTCAACTGTAGTTCAGACCACGAGTCAAAGCTGCATTTCTCCGTCCTGCATCTTGTTTTCTTGTCACTGAGCTTCACACACGCACCCACACACATACGCACATACGCACACAGCGAAGACTTTTTTCCCCTTTTTTGTGTGCAGGACCCGATCAAAGTTCTTTGAAGGTGGGTTGCTGATGTTGGACATTAAATAAGATGTGTGTAACTTATTCTCACCTCCATTCCTTTGTGTGCACAGTGTGTCTGAGGAATATGCTTCCCGTTTCTTCCGTAGCTATGTGACAGCTTGCAGAGAGGCACTGAGCCAGAAAGCTTGCCTGTCCTAGCTTTGTCTGTGAAATAAAGACACATTCAGGCCGTTTGATGTTGCCTGGCTGAACAAAACATCATATAAGCTTTTACAGTAACCAGAGTTAAAGCAACTCAGTTGAGGGCCTGTTGGATGCTGCTGTGCAGGGCCGTGCCTCCCCGTCCCTCCATCCAACACTAACCCACACCGAGTCATCCAGATGGAATGAGAGATCTGCCTCCCGGAGCTGAAGCTGTGTAGATGAGAGGAAGAGATGACAATGGATCTTTTCCCCTTGGGTCAGGAGGGCGTAACGTTGGAGCGAATGGAGACAAACAGGAGAGAGGAAGTGTGCTGGAATCTAAAGTCAGGCTGCCTACGATGGAGGACGTGATAACAGCTCTCTCTCCCATGTTGGGATGGTAGAAGGGATAGCTAGAGGAAGTAAGGCACAGTCATGCCTCTCCTTTAGGAATAAGCGTAGGTTTAGGTTGTTCTTGCACTGGTCCCTCAGATAAAACCCCACTGACGTTTAGGCTCATACACATACAGGCTGTGCTTTTTTTTCTCTTTTCTTTTTTTTAAATATGGCTTGTGGTTCTTCAGAGCACCACACATTGGTTTCTCATCAGTTGAGTTGCAGCTTCAGCGCAAACCCACGCAGAAGGGAAGTCTAAAGATAGCCTCGCAGACATTTTTGTCATTTCTCTAGTCAAATGGAAATCTAATCTAGCAGAGATTTCTCATTTGATTTGAAACTTTTGACGGGAAACATGTTTTCATTTAATTCAAAACCATCATCTATGAGTATGCAATAGTTGTATTTTAAATACATATGGTAGGCATGAAAATAATAAGTAGTGACAGATCAGTGAAAGGTGACATTACAGATATTCACGCTGAACACTTTGACTTCCGGTTTCTCCTCAGTGACACTTACTGAGGTAACGCGATGGCATCCTGTAGTTCGGACTTAAATATATCTAGCTAGATGCATCAAAACTAAGGGATATCCGTAGTATTGTGCCGCTGACATGTGCTAGTTCCTCTGCCAGATGTTTGCAGGTTAAAGGTTATTCGCTGTGTGTGAAGTAGGATTTCCAGAAGAGTGTTTGACAAATAAACATGCAGTCCCGTTCACCTGCAATTAGCGATGGCTAATCTACATAAGGAGCCCGTTTTATAAAGTGTATACTTCCATTTTAATTTAGAGAGGATTCTATTCACGTAAACTTGCATTTCTCAAACAGTCTTTTTAACTATTATTTTATTCAGTATGGGTGAAACTATTTGTCCAGGCCTTAATTTTCCAAACCAAACCTTTAAAGTGTTGTTGCCACTTGTTTTCTTGCATTATTCTTTTGATCATAATTTGATCATAATGTCTTCCTCTTATTCTGATGATTAAAAAGCTGTTACAGCTACAGTTCCAGTTACACAGCCACATTAGTTAAACTAACTCAACGGCATATCCAAAAGACCTGCTGTTCTGTGATAGGAATACTCTCGCTAAAAATGACGTAAAAAGAACCTTAGAAGACCTCGGGGATCATGTGGGCTGGTTGAATTGTGGGGTATTTTTAAAGGAAATTGTGGTGATTTTCTCACCATTTCCACTGTTGTCATGGTTTCGTGATGGCGGGGAATACAAAGTCTAAATTGTGCACATAACATAAAAAAGCCAGAGGCTTTTCAGCAAGCATGTGTTCCTTTATGTACTTCCATAAATAGCACAGAGTAGGCAGCAATAAAAATATCTGCCACAGCCCACACGGCCGTTTCTTCCCGTTGTGTAACACGCTGAGCTACCTGGGGGGGTCAGGTCACCGACTACGGGGTGCTTCGGCAGTCAGAGGCCGAGGTCGTGTGTGACGGCCCTCCAGCTTGCGTGACCAGCGCTGCAGCGCAAAACAATGAGCCTCGCCGGGCCAGCCGGGCGGGGCCGCTCAATGGCAGGAAGCGTGGCCATCAATATTTACTTTGAGAGCAGGGTAGCGGGGGAGTCGACGGGCCCGGAGCCCGGGCAGCACAGCGCCACACGCAGTCTCTGCACACAGACACAAACATCATGCAGTGCTGTGTGCAGCCTCCCCCTTTCCCACCCCATGCAATTACAGCGCAGGCAGACAGGCTGGGCCCTCCGACTGTTGTTTTTGACCTCATAGCTTCCTCTGCCAAAGAGTCCGGTCTTTTAAAACTGCCTGACCCTTTATGGACACTATTAAGTTGCACTCAACTGGATTCCAATCACAGAGCAGTCGCGCCCCAAATGAAACTTCGGGTTTCTCTTTATTACAGCTCCTGCGATTGGCATTTGATAATTCATTATTCTGTTCCTTTGCAGCGATGGGAAGCCGTGCTGTGCTCACAGGGGTGCTTGCGGCGGCGTGTCTGTGGATCTCTGCTGTCTACGCAGGTGAGTCAGATGTAGGAAGTCAGAGTTAAGAGCATCCGCTCGTTCATTGAAAGCTCCATTCAAGACGTCTGACAACGAAGCAAATGACTATTGCATGAAAGGGGTCGCTGGCGTGAGAGAACCCACGCAGTTTGCAGCTCGATGTGCTTTCTCACAAGTCCTCCAGCGGAAAACAAAAGCCGTTTGAGGTGGACAAGCTCGGACAGGCACACAACCTGTCCTGCGTGAAACGCAGAGTCCGAGTAAATAAGCGGCTGGCGAAGACAGTGGAATATCAGCTTGGGTCATGGTGAACCCAAACCACAACTCAAAGGCACAGGAATGTGTTTTTTTGGGTAGTAAAGTCTCTCAGCCTCATAGTGATCGGAAAGTGTTTAATGTTCTGAGCAAAGAGTCTGTTTGAATTAAGAATTGGTTATGAGGGGTTCCTCACCCTTCCACCAATGTAGTGGAATGTCTTTTCCACGGTTTTGATTTAGACAGATATGAGAATGTCTTTGCTTCATGTCTTTGTGCCTTTTCACCTTGTTCTGACTCTTCCAAATACCCCTCCTGGTTAACAGCACAGCCTCTGTGATCTATATGATGATGAAATCCATTAAGATATTTATTTCCATTAATTAGCCACATGTAAGAGACTTCTATTAGTAATCTTTGACCAGTGCGCTGTGATGTGTGTTTGGCCTCTATCAACACTTGCTGTGTGTACTTCCTTGTGCTTAAGATTCTGGAGACGATGGAGGGCTGCTGTGCACGTGTGAGAATTTAAAGGGCACATGCGTGAATGGAACTTGCAGAGGAGACCACTGCTTCTACACCTGGGTGCGCGGCGTTGAGGAGAGGGGCTGTTTTTCCTCATCGAACTACAGAGAGCAATGCTTCACCTCCTTCGAGGGTTTCTTCGTCCACTGCTGCAGAGAGAATCAGTGCAACACCTTCACCACGCCTCCTCCAGACATAAGTCAGTATCAACGCTTTCATTTATCTGTGGAACTGAGTCTCTTAGTTAAGTGCCATTAAATCCCCTCAGTCACACAGTTCATAGCACATCTTGCAATCCTTTGTACTGACGGGATTCAAAGCTTTGTTAGATAGTAACTGGTTCCCCCTTGTGGTCAGTTAGAGCTATGTGGCGTTTTTTGGACTTATGATGCAATGTCATGTTGCTAGTTTTGTGTTTCCCTGCATAATAAATCATTACAAACAGCACTTCCTTAATTTAAGAATATTTCTTAAGCTTGTTCATCAAACTTAAACGTGCGTAAAAATTTGCATCCGCATCCAGATGGAAAGCCGACAAAGCCTCCGGAGCTCAGCCGTCCAGAGCTGTGGATCACGTTGTCCCTGCTGCTGTTGATCGTGACTGCCAGCCTGTGTGGCCTGGCGCTTTTCCTGCGCTTCCGCCGCGCACATAGCAAACTGACGAACGTCGAGGAGCACGATGTCACCATGCTCAAGGTCCCTAATGGAGACGACCCCACCTACGGCGTAAGAGACATTTGATGTTTGACGTTAAGACACGACACCAATCCAAATGTGTTCACGTTTTTTTGAGCTGTGTGTTTCTGTCTCAGAAAATCTACGATGAGTTTGACTCATCGGGGAGCGGGACGGGGCTGCCCTATCTGGTCCAAAGGACTATGGCCAGACAGATCTCACTTGCCCATTGCGTCGGTCAGTCTCCTTCCTCACCGAACGCTGCTCTCCTTTGTACTGTTTTGTTTATCGCTTGGCCTTAAGGTTATTGTCACTCGGTTTGCAGGTAAAGGCAGGTATGGGGAGGTGTGGAGAGGAACTTGGATGGGGGAGAGTGTGGCCGTCAAGATATTCTCCTCAAGGGATGAGCAGTCCTGGTTCAGAGAGACGGAGATCTACAATACTGTGCAGCTCCGACACGACAACATACTGGGTAAGGCAGCAGTGGAACCATTCGTGCGAAGAAAGGTGCAGTGTCATTTTTAGGCCTGAGGTTTAAAAAGCGATCCCGTGTTCTGGCTTTAGGTTTCATAGCCTCTGACATGACATCCAAGAATTCCAGCACCCAGCTGTGGCTCGTCACCCACTTTCACGAGCTGGGTTCACTCTACGACTTCCTGCAGTACAGCAGCTTGGAGCCTGAGAGCTGCCTGAAGATGTGCCTGTCCGTGGCCTGCGGGCTGGTCCACCTTCACACTGAGATTGTTAGCTCCCAGGAGAAGCCGGCCATCGCCCACAGAGACCTGAAAAGCCGAAACATCCTTGTCAAGCGGAACGGGCAGTGCTGCATCGCTGACCTGGGTGAGGGTTGTGCGAAATCCGTCAGACTTGTAGTCGTATCCGTTCACAGCTTCTGCTGACCCTTAGGATGAATTATATAGACTCAAAACTTTGATAGTTTTTGTAATTCACTGTTAAAGAAAAGGGTTGCGTCTGTTTGTCAGGTCTGGCTGTGATACACTCCCAGTCTCATGACTACCTGGATGTGGGCAACAATCCTCGCGTGGGGACCAAGCGCTACATGGCTCCTGAGGTGCTGGATGAGACTATCCGTATGGACGTCTTTGAGTCCTACAAGCAAACTGATATCTGGGCCTTGGGCCTGGTCTTCTGGGAAATTACCCGCAGGACCATAGTTAATGGTAAGGAGGCCGCAAATGACTATTGTGCCAACCATCATTTACAGATATTTGGAGATTTCCATTTTGAATTTACAGAGTCATGTCAACGGCCTTGCGACACGTTGATTGATTGACGTGCATAAAGACGAATCAGTGTTGAATTCAGACGCATGTGAAAACCAGGATAATTGGGCATTTCTTTTGGAATTTACGATTCAGTATTTTTTTAAAGTTGTTGTATTGGACGAAGCTGAGTGGTTGAGGCGCATACCACATTGGCGCGAATGTCCAGAGCATTCTATTTTCTCAAATAAAGACGATTCCCGAATGCTCAAATAGTTAAAAAAAAGAAAGAAATAAAAAGCTGCTGCATCACCCGTCAGACAGATCTCATATTAAATTGGATTATCTCTGCCATTTCTATCTGACTCTGTATACATAAGAGGCAGACAGCCCCGTGTCTCTCATCACTCCAGTGTTTTCCTGGTCTGTGTCCGTCTCTACTATCCCCTCTTGTGATTAGCACTGCAGTAATTATAAACACACTTATCTGGTGTCAGCACTGTGTTGTACATAGTCCAGATGCAAGAACACGTCCATGTTCAAATGGCCGCGCACACACAGGCACAGACACACTTTGTCCAGATGGATAGAAATTCATAACTTTGACTCTCACACACACACACAGACACACACACTTAGCAGGCCTTGCAGAGCCCCGTGTATTCACCAGGGAATGGATATCTTTCCCTTCTCTCTTGTATGTTTAGTCAAACATACTTTACAAAACTCCCCCAACGCACTATCGCAATTTTCCAACTGTGCTATTTCAAGCCTGCTAAGAAAAGGAATGTATGTTCTGATTATTTTTAAGGAGTTGAATCAGAGGTATATCAGTTATCTACTTGTGCGGTTGATAACAGGTTACACTGTTATTAGAGCCACCACCGTCCCACAACCAAGAGACTTATTGTTTACGAGTGCAGAAGAAACGGCACTGAGCCTTTTTCTCTCTTTTGAATGCTTTTAGGAATCGTTGAAGATTACCGCCCTCCTTTCTTTGACCTGGTGCCCGTGGATCCAAGCTTTGAGGAGATGAAGAAGGTGGTGTGTGTGGACCAGCAGAAGCCCAGTGTCCACAACAGGCTCCATTCCCATCCTGTAAGCCATCTGATAACACACACTCGAGTCAAGTGCAATTATATTTTCCAGGGTTACTATAATCTACCGTTCAGCCCGATAAACAGGCATGCAAGAAAGAGCATCAGAATCGACACCTGTTGACACAGAGTGTACAGTACAGACTCCGGAGGATACACGATAGCGCTGCCACACATGTTCTATTCCACTGGGATGGCCAGATGTTATGTTACATTTGTCTCTGTGTGTCCAGATTCTTTTAGCCATCGTGAAAATCATGAAGGAGTGTTGGTACCAGAGCCCAACAGCCCGCCTCACTGCCTTGCGGGTGCGGAAGACGCTGTCCAAATCGGACCATGGCAGTGACTTCAACATCGACAAACTCAAGCAGGACATCTAGGCCAGAGCGCCGAGATGAAACGGGGACAAAAGACTGAAAACGACAAAAGGGATTACGCACTAAAAGCACAAAGTGCTTTCATTAGCATGTCATCAGCATGTTTGGAGCTTGTGACTCTCGCAGTCAGTGCGTTGTATGAAAAGCGCGTGACTTTGAGCAATAGCGTCGAGACTGGCTCCCAAGGCTGCTTTTTTTGCGTGGCCTTGTTTTTATCGGCCAAATATCTGGTGACTGGGACCAAAAGGCCCCAGAGACATTTAAAAAGCCCAAAATGTATAATGTATATTTATTTTTCAATGTTCAGTGAAAGGATATTTCCAAAGCAGAATGATTAACACCAAACTATTCATGGGCTGTTCTACACACACAGGGTTTTACTCATAGTTATCTGAATCCCCCTTTGTCATGACAGAAAGGAAAATATGCAATGGCGCAATTACGTCATTTAATCGTTAAGAGGAAGAGAACATCATCGGGGGCTTTCTCTGAAATTGCACAATGGGTATTCTCAAAAAATGACCAAAATTATAGGAGACATTGAGGTCTTGATGGGAAGGGAGGTTGCCATGAAAAAAGAAAACATGTAAGTGATAACATGCTCATACCAAAGCACATTACCTGTTGCATAAACACATTTAACTTGTATGAAATAAGCATTTATTATCTCCACACAGGCACATGAGCTATTTAGTTGTAAATATTCTGACACTGTTGTCTTATTTCCCTATTGATTGTAAATATATTTTGAAATGACTATTATTGTGTACAATCAGAAAATGAGACACATTTTATACACTTCAACATTTTCAAGGTATTTTTTATACATTTGTGTAGGCCAATATTGTACCCTCCCTATTATCATGGTCACCAAAGGACCTCACAGACATTTAACTTTTTATACGTTGAATAAAGGATTGCTTTGTTCAACCGATTGTGCTGTAGAAACTATTTTCTACCACTGATGTTTGCAACTCTCTTATTGACCAGCAGAGGTCAACAGATAACAGACAAAAAATTGTTGCGTATGGTCATGCTCTTATTTTGAAGGATTTACTCTTTAACAGTTTTTCCTTTTCATAATTTCTCCAACAAGCAGTTGAGAGCAATATTTAACCACAGCACTAAATAATAATGAACAGTTATCAATGTCAGGGGATTCTTTTATTCTGCTTACATACATTAGCATGTTTGAACAGCCGTAATAGCCTGTGTGTCCTTGCATGAAATGTTATTAAGATAAGATAAAGAGCTCCAATCGTTTATCTTGGTCACACTAGCATAAATACAGGGATACTTCACCAGAAAATATAATTATATTCATGTAAGGCAAGCCCGACTGAATGGGGACTTCATGAATAAACTTTTAATAACATTTTTATGATATATGTATTTGTCTGCACTACTCTTAGTAGGAATTGATGTGATCTGTATGCATTGTTTTATAGGACATATGATGTGAATACTCTAACCTATCTCATCTGAGGAAATACATTTTAAAAGAATATGTAGAGCCTGTTTAAAAATAAAAATATAAATGTGACATATTTATAAAACAGAAATATCTATTTTCCAAATACTTGTAAACACCTTTGTTTACTCTTCAGATGCGTCCTGCATATCTAGTCATAGTGTAACGTCAGCTGTCAGAAGTATATACCTACAGAATATTTGCTTTATAAAAATATCTCGTGGGAGAAGCATAAAAACAACAAGTTTGATGTGCAGAGTCACAAAGAATACAAAATGTCCAACAAGAATCCAACTAGCCCAGTGGTTGGTTAAATACCTCTATCTGCTCTTTCATGTAATAACTGCATGCCTGTGTTTTCTTTTTCTATCTGCTGTGCTTGTTTCGCTCTTATCTGTTTGTGTGTGTGTGTGTGGGGGAGTGTTCGGGTGTGTGTGTGTTTTCTGTCTCCCTGGTTGTTGAACAAACTGCAGAGAGATAACACTCCCTCAAAGCCTCAGTCTGTCCGGTCAGTCAGATGAAGAGCTGGTTATTTTTAACACGACAGGGGGGTTGTTGGAGTATCAGAGAGGCCAAACTCCCCCTCTGTGAGCGAAGGAGCCCATCTCACTTCTGTGTACACAGTCAGACTTGACGCATAGCAGTGAGAGCGCTAGCAGGCGGATGGGTGATACAATTGGGTAAAGTCCCACATGTACCTGGTTACAGCCTGATTCCGCTCTTCTCGAGACAGATTCTCGAGCGGTGGCAAGCGAGTGTTAGTGAGGCGGCGGCAGGTCATCGTCTCTTAGTTGGGGGAAAACGGTGGACTAAATTGGACAAGAGAAACTTTTTTGTGATCTTATGTCAAGGAGTATTTTACATTGTGTTACTACGAACTGCAAGCTGTACCTTTTTAGCAATAACCTTTCTTTAGTGGTTGATATGTGATCCGAGATGAGGAATGAAATGTGGCACGCTCTTTTTTAATTTCTTACCAAATTAGTCTTCCTTTGATCAGGGGACATCGGATTGAAGTATATTAGACAGCTGCAGCGTCCTAAAGCTATGATATCAATAAGGGACTTATTTGACAACTGATGAGTCATTAAATATGGATGGATGGACACATGTGTCGTGGTCTGACCCAAATACTGGTGCTGCCAGGAAAAATACAGGAGGTTCCATATTGGTACATAAGACTTATCAGCTCTCCACTGCTGATTGGTCGTAATCAGTCCAATTCCTCTTTTGTTTTGTCAGACCTGGCTTTACATTTCTACTTTAAATAGGGGAGTAGCCTTGATGAATAATACGTTTCGTAACTGACCAATGTGTTCACACGTAAGCAACAAGATATTATCAGTCATCCATTATTTTAACTACTTCTGGCAGGTTTATTTTTGTATTGCGGTCAAGACCATATTTTAATGTCATGAGATGTCATTATTTTACTTTTGCAGTCAAAATGACATGTGGCCAAGTTGTACACTTAGATCAGATGCTGTCATGAGTGAATTGGTTTCAAATGGATGTCGTCACACAACGTCCTGTTTTGAGTAATAACCTCAATCAGCAATACATGAAACCAAGAATAACCAAGTTGACCAAAGCGGATAAAATTTATGCAATCATAATTATGTTGTTTCGTTCAAGCACATTAGGGAAAAAGTGAATTCCTCCAACATATTTAGTTTGGCCTCAAACCGTTAACATAGTTTGTACAATCATGAAAACTAAACAGAGATATATTAATATTTAACTGCTCTATATAGAGATGCCATGCTTTTCAAAATAATGGAAGATGAAAAGTTGTGTTCTCATTCGATTTTTAGATTATTCTTCTTTTTTCTTGTGTCAAGCCCATTTTGAAGTATGATTCAAAATGACTTCCTGTTTTCTTGTCTTACTGGAACATCGAACTCATCTTAAGTTTAAACTAAAAATATATATAACTTTATGATTCAACTTATACAGTTAGTTTGTTCCCCAAATACATTTTATTTTTCAGTCACGTGACTTTAAGCAAGGTTAATGGTTTATAAATAAATCCGCGAAGGCAGTCCATAGAAATACAACATCATATTTAAAACACATATCAAGGAATACTTGTGACCAGAAATGTACCTTCGTTTCAATCTTATTTACACATGTTAATATAACAAAATCATATCACTGACTTTGGAATCTAAGTGTATACTTTCGATCGCATTCGCTCTGTCCTTTTTTGTATTTACAAAATACAGCCGCGACCTTATTGGCAGAAGGGCACATGCAGCCCTCCCCTTTAAACGCGCGCACACACACGTACACACCCCTTTAAACGCGTCACCCACCGGGCGGGCTGGCTGGTATCGGGCAGTGCGGTGTGTGTGGTTGTGTTTCGGGTCGCGCTGATAACGACACAGCCCGGGACGCGTTTGCTCGCCGAGAGATGGGAGTGCTGGAGACATGGCTGTAAAAGAAATGGCTCTGGCGCTTTTGACCCTGGTCGGGTTGGCGGCCATCGGCGACGGTAAGTTCTGATGCGAGCGCCTTTACCGGGTTTTCTGCCTCGACGCGTTTCTGCCCCGGACCGGGCATCGCCTGTTGTCACGCGTCGCCATGGCGCTGCCGTGTCGGGCATTCTGTTTTCGCTGAGGGGGGCTAACCGCGGCTAGCTTGCGTCGACCTCGAAGAAAAGTCACGCCGCCTCGTTTGTGCGCGTGTGTGTGTGTGTATGTGTGTGTTTTATACAGATTTTAAAAACAAGTCGACGTGTGGTTGTCGCAAACGGAGCTACAACCACAACAACAACATGGTGGTGCTGTTTGTGTCGAGGCGCCGGCTAACGTTAGCTAGCTCAACGGTTAATAGTCTTCTAAAGTTGAACCGTGTAGCGTTAGATAATTGTGCTCCGTTTGAGCGCAACAAGACAAGCATAAAAAATAAAAAATGTGTATATATAATTAAGTGGAAGCACACCCAGTGCCGAATAAATAACCCAGTCTCCTGTTGATATTTATTTTGGTTATCTGTTGCTGTTATTAATACTAATATATTTACAAACCGGCGTCTCGCTGGACTGCTTATCGCCGTAGGGACAGCAGCGCGTGCAATGTGCTCACTTACAGCCTCCTCACACCGTGCGTGCGTACGTGCGCGCTCCCTGGATGGACCCGAAAGGGTTCGTTGAATGAAGGCCCGGTCCAGGTTTGTGTGTGTGTGTGTGTGTGTGTGTGTGTGTGTGTGTGTGTGTGTGTGTGTGTGTGTGTGTGTGTGTGTGTGTCCTTTTAAAAAAAAAAATTAGAGTAAACACTGGCAGCCACTACATTTGGCTCCATTTGTATGGAGTGAAAAGGCTGCTTAGTGCCCTCGCTCCCCCCCAGCTGAAAGTGAATGCTGGCATAGGGTGACAACAGCCGTGCATTCAGCCAACCCAGACTGAAGTCAGAGTTGAAGTCTGGGGTCATTGTGATGGAAATGTGGCAAGTGGGGTCTTTTTGAGGCGCCAGCTAAGGTGCTGCTTCAGTCCAAACGCTCCCCCGTCTGCTGAGGCAGCTGACACCCAGCTTCACGCCTCCGCCTCAGACACACAGATCTGGTTTTTAACTACCCTTTTCCCCCCTTCTTCTGTGAAGCTTGTCCAAGCACCTCTAACTTTACTACATGCACAGCAATAAATCATTATTATTTCTGAAACAAGCGTGTCTGGTGTTATGCGAACGTCTGTTTTGTTTTCGCCAATTCTCCTTTACCCTGTTGCAATTTGTCACTCAGCAGATAAACTAAGTAGTTAGAAAGAAAAAAAAATCTGAGTGCATGTTGTGCTTTAAGCGGTTGAGTCATAATTCCAGTCACAGGGTGCAGCGCACAGTTCTTTTACAGCACGCTAGGAAAAACAATCACACCTGAATGGCTTTGTTTTGACTGAGTTACTTCAATATTAACTGTGTGTGTGTGTGTGTGCGGCCTGAGCACACAGTTTGTGACGATGGGTTTGTCCAGCTGGCGGGATCTGCTGCTTTCAAGGGGGGGCTCGCAAGTCTGTCTGGAGCCATGGTTTCGCGCCGTGTAATGTCATGCAAAGGGACTGGAACCAGACAAACCTGAACGTAGCCGCTCGAGTGCCAACTCACACCTCTGAACTCCTGTCACATTGCTGCTGGTTTCATAAGGAGTCACCGGCGTTGTGGTGTGACGCAGTCGGTCCCACCGGGCGCATTGAACACTGTGGCGACGCCATACGGGTACCGCGCTGTTGACCGTCCTGCAAGGAAGTGGGGCGTGTCCATCTATTTCTCCTTCACCTCTGCCCTTCCCTTTCTCTATTGCTGTCCTATAAAAGCCGTGGCAGGACAAATGTTACATGCGTGTGTGTTCCGATGTATGTTCATAATCAGTCCTACGAAGTAATAATCCATACTCTATATAAAAACATTTCTTTTTAAAACCATCAATTCCTGCGTGAATAAGAGACTGGAAAAACAACCCTTTAGTGCGTAAGAAGCAGGATGTGTTGGCTAGAGGGACTGCAAGGAATGCCGGAGGATAGGTGTTTGAGAGACCGATGCACCAACACAACTTGTGCCCAAGAGAGGAGCTGTGTCTGTTTGGAGGGTTTTGAAAAATTTAGGTCAGAATACGATTTATTGCAAAGTTGGTCGGGCCGCTGGTATTTCCTCTGGTGGCACCGCTAGCAGCTACAAGCGCTAACAAGCTAACTCGCCGGCCAGTCGTGAGCGGTGAACAACCCGCGGTAAACAGATGTTCGGGTGGCCGACGCTCCCTTTTCGGGGTGAACGAATGAGCTTACTTTAAAATAAAATACTGTGAAACCGCTAGAATGTTACAAAATACCGTGATGTCTTGGTGCCCCCCGGACGCTTCCTCTTGTTTATCAACAGCCTCTATGCTGCGGCACTGGGCCAGTCAGGGTCAAGTCGGGGTGTTCTAGTTTACCCCCCCTGTATAATGACCGCTGTGGGTAATGAACTCCGGAGGCACAGAGGCCTAATTGCCACAGCAGACAGCGTAGCCCCAGACTGACCCAGCTCTGCCATTACTGATTTCTGGCCCACAGGAGAGAACTACCCCTGCAGAGCCTTCCGTTGGGATCTTATCCCTGCTCTTATTTTACTCCTTGTATAATGTAATGTGCTTTTTGTGCCATACCTTGAATGTGGTTATTGTCCCAGTGCAGCCAGACATAGCTAGTGGCTGTGTGAGTTCATGTCTATAGGGGTGAACCTGACACCCATCCTCAATTACGTGGCTCTTTGTGGAGGTGTTTTTTGGGCTGTTTGCAGGAATGTGGATCAGACCTGTTCTGCCTCCTCATTTTCTGCTGCAAGGGCCGTTTCCGTTTCAGACATTTTTTTGTTTGAAAAGTATATATTCTTTAGAGCTAGTACAATTTAAATAAACGGATTTGTAGTGGGGCTCCATCTTTGAGCAATAAATGTACATTTGATGGAGGTCTTTTGTGACTGTCCCTCTTTACTTCCTACATCACTACAGCGTTAAGCTGGACTTATGGCGTTGTGACCCAAAGAAGTTGTTTTGGTGTCAGAAAATTATCTGATTACGTTCTGTATGCAAAATACAGAATACATAATCATCCTTTTTTGGTTGTTCCACACCTCCATTGGTGCCTTCTCTTTTTACTTAATATTGGCTTATCCAACTAGAGCTGGGTGTTGTCTAAAATGTTGTTTTTCCTCTTCAATTAGGAGGGTCTAGTGCAGTTAGATTTTCCGCAGTAATGTGTTTCAGTGCCAACAATAAATTAGTTTTTCTAAGATGGGCCCTAATTTTTAATGAGAAAGATAAACCATTTTTTATAGAACACTTTTACAGTTAACCTGGAAGCCAAATTTTAATGCAATGTAAACGCAATCAAATATGCAATGACTTGGATAAAAAAACAATTGTTTTTGGTCTGTGCCCAAACATTTGGGTTTTATATCTAGCTTTAACAGCTGTTCTAGAAATACTCAATAGGGCCCATTTGCTTCGTCTGTGTTCTGCTAATGCTCAGTCGTTCTTAATCAGAACAGCTCAGCGCTCTGCAACGTACCAGTGACATTATAATACAGTATTCTAGTAGAGGCAACGTGTCCAGTTTGTGGGAAAATCCAAAGTGAAACTGTAGTCCCACTTGTTTGCCTCTGAAGTAATGCAGAGACAGACGGGATGGTCAGATAGTAGACGCAGCCCCAGAGGCTTCACTGGAGAATCACATCAGTAATCTGACCCTCAGATGCAGACAAAGGTAATGACTTTCCTCCTTCCCCCAACATTGATTAGGACACAGTTGTGTGTGTGCGCGGGTGTGTGTGTGTGTGTGTGTGTGTGTGTGTTGGCACTCCCGCTGTCTGGTGGCGTCTGCTTGTCTTGATCAGCTCTTAGTCTGGTATCTATATGGATTTATTCTCAGTGCATTTTGGTAATGGTGCTCTGCTCCCTGTGCACGCACGCACACACACACACGCATGTGCGTATGCACCCGACTGTCTGTCTGTTGTTCGGCGGGCCAGAATCCCACTGTGTTTGTGTAACACTGCTGCGAGCACGCGTATTTTCCACAGACGCGCTCACCTTGCCTCAGGAGAACCCCCCCCTCCCTGTCTCCTCCCTCCGGCGCGCTCGCAAACCGGGGTCACTAAGGTCAACTTGTGGAGGTGTTTGGAGTGGGACTACGCTGTGGTTTTCAGTCGGGTCCAAGTTGAGGCAGCAATGTCGTATTAATCCCTTCCTCCCTGCCGTATGTTGTTTCCTGTCTCGACACGAAGCGGAATGAGAGGAACTTCACACGCTCGCCGCTCAAAGGAGTCGCTTCTCAAAGAAGAACCGCGTTCTCCCCCCTTTCTGCCTCCACTGTTCCCCTTTTTCATTTTTTTCCCCTTCTTTTTTCCCCCCCTGCTGTTATTTACCCCCTCCCGCAAGTCAAAGTCTAGACTGGGTTTTAATGACTGTCGCAGCTGGTCACTTGGGCAGAGCCCGGCCGCAACTGGGGGGGGCGTGCCGGGGGCCCTGTAAACCCCCCCCCCCCCCCCCACAAAACCTCCTCCGTATTGTCCTGACCAACTTGGGAGCAGCCCCCATCCTGTCTGGCCCAGGAGCAGCACCCCCTCCCCCACTCTCCCCAAACATTGAAGTAGTTGCTATTAACCCCGGTCTCCCCATCCCCCCGCGCTGAAGTGCGCTCCCCCCACCCGGCCGGGCTCTTTGTTCGTGCCAGTCCAATCCGTCCGCATGTCGTCTTAATCTGCACACAAAGGGCCAGTGTAAAGACCGCCGATTACGTGGCTACGAGAGCAGAGTTCACTCAAAAAGCCCTGCGTACACCCGGGGCCCCTCTCGGCTCCATGTGCATCTGGGACCCCCCCCTTTGTAACACGCCGGTGGGACGTGCAGAGCGCCGTGCGGACAGCGTGGCCTTTTGGGGAATGCCGGAGGTCTTTCTCCAATGCTGTTGGTTTTCTTTGCGGCGTATTTGCCGTCCTGATTCACACTCATTTTGTGTTTGTGAGCGTCGTTTCACATTGAGTAGACTTTTATGAAATTTGGTCAAAAGCCCAGGTCAACTTGGTAGCCAACAACGTTTTTCTATAGAGGTGTTATTGGCTGTGTTGGGAAAGATTGCCGGGTGACGCTGCAATTCAATAAGCAGTGCAGTTTATTGGCAATAGTTTTATTTAACCTGAACGTGAGGAATAACCTTAATTAGTTTGGTGATTGAATCAGATTCTTTTTCCTGTAAATAGTTCTCGATAAATCTATAAAATGCCATTGTGTCCTAGATGTTCTACATATTGGCCACCCCCAGTGTTGGCTGTGTGTTGTGCATGTCTTTTATTCTCCATATGGTAGCCTTTAACCAAGGGGAAAACTCACCACCGACCAACTCCTGGTAGACCACAAACCATCCATGACACACTTGAGAGGGGAATGTGTGTTTTTCGGCCCCGCTCTGGTTTCCTTTTCTGAGTCTGTAAGTCTGCGTACCATCTGTCTTGCCACACGCAGACTCCATGATGGACGCGCCTGCTCCTCGTCCTCTTATCACGTCGCGTACCTTAAGAACTATTCTGTATCCGTCCGCTTGATTCTAACCAGGGAATTTGAGGTACAATAAATGAAACTAAATGTTTTTTTTTCTTTCTTTCTTTAAACTATCCCTCATACTTTGAGGATGCATTGATCAAGATGGCTCCTCTCTGGCCTCCCACGCTGATTGATTAATTTCCTTCCTGAGAAGCCGTAAACGTCAAGCCTGCAGGGGTGTGCGGCTTAATGGCGGACGGGATGCAAGATGTCGGCCTCTGAGGATTGATACAGAGCATCTTCCTGCTCTCTAACATACAGCTGTTACTCCCGTCACCGGTTTTATTTGGCTCAACCGTTTGTTCCATAGATGCAGCACTTTAGCGCGATCTGGCACAGAACTTGCACCCCCCCCCCCACCCCTCCCTCTCTGTCTGACCAGTCTGCTTCACCACTTTGTAATCTGCAGGAAATTCCATCGGCATGCGAACGGTGGTGAATTTGGACGCGCTCCACCAAGAGTTCCTGCCACTTTCTCACTCGCCTCCTGGGGAGCAACACACAGACACGCAAAAACCTAAGAGTTGAGAAATGTTAGCGAATCAGGCGTCCTACATTCCCGGTTACCCCTCGGCGGACAGGCACAGACACATCAGCATACGCAACGTGCCAAATCCGCTCCCACACAAAGCCATTTCCCAGAAGGAAAAAGCATGCCGATGACATCTGCTTTGTGGTTTTTGGCCAACTGAGGTGTTGCATGCTGATGGCGCAACCGTTTCCGGAGTATTTTGTGCTCTTTAGGTTCAAGAATGTACCAAACATCTTTTTAACAGACACCGTTTTGGTGCAAACCGGGGGCGATGAGTGAGCTCATCTGGCCGAAGGAGCCCTCCGGATGAGACATGGAGGATTAGTGGAACCTCGCCACCCTCACAATCTTTTCTTTTCCCTGGTCCAGATGTTGTCACCGGTCCAACTGCCACTGAGCCTCCTCATTTTGAGGGCAAAAAAGGATTTGAATTCCTCTCCGTTTTGTGTCTCCAGCAGGGTTGCTGCTGTTGGTATAACAGGGTTTTTTGTGTCAGAGTTGTAGTTTGTTTTTTCTGACTATGAATCAGCTGTTGTTCTGTGAGGCCTGACTAACGGCCCTGATGTCAGTCCGGTGGTTCCTCATTTACCGCTGACAGAGGGTCCGTTGACTTAAACGGCCTCCCAGTGTTCTGTTGCCATGTGAAAACCAGTCACTGGTGTGGCCTCGCCGGGTCCTGGTTGGCACTCTGTTGCGTTGTGGAGAACCTTGGAAGGAGCCTTTTGCCCCGACCGTACTCTTGATGAGAAGCATGTGTTCTGTGACTCGAAATCACATCGCCCTCCAAATCCAACCAGCTTGCAGTTTCTTGCCCCCGCAACGCTTGACCAACTCCTGTCGCGTCTCAAATCTGCAGAGGCTTCGAGACCTCTTTTGAATCGTGAAGATGAGCCACTGTAGTTTTTTTTTTTTTTTTTCTACAATGGAGGTGGCAGGCGTTCCATTGTGTCCGCTTCAAAGGGTCCCTGCGCAGGACTGTGCTGTGTTCAATAAAAGCTGCCGCCTCATCAGCTCAAGCCGCGGCCGCTGTCTGTGTCCGTGTGACAGAGACGGGACAGGAATGGAGCAGAATGCTGCATTTGGGGATTTGGCAGGAGCCGCGCTTCGCTCGTTGGGTTTCGCGTTGTCTGTCCCACGGGGGGGCAGGTCTGTCTCCACCCTGCGTGTTTGGGTTCATCTGCAGTGAAGGATCTGATTTCAGGGCCGTCTGGCCTCTCCGGCGAAATTCCAAACTCCTGTCTGCTTGTCACAAAATGCTCACGGCTGAATTGAGACGTTGGACAAACTGTGGGGTCGGCCTGTCCCCTGGTGGACATAGTGGGGGGTTGAAGCAGACGTGTTTGTTTGTTTTTGTTTTCCAATGTGATGAATTGATATTTACTCAACTCTCCCTGTCCTTTCCCGCAGCTCTGCATTGTAACTGCACAAACTGCAAGTCTGGCTCCGAGTGTGAAACGGACGGCGCCTGCATGGCCTCCACATACTACAGCCAGGGCAAGGAGCAACACGTGCGCATCTGCATCGACCGGGACAACCTGGTCCCTCCGGGACAACCGTTCTACTGCCTGAGCGCCGAAGGCCTGCTCAACACACATTGCTGCTATGTGGATTATTGCAACAGTATTGAAGTCCCGGGTGAGAAGCCGCCGCCATCCAGCACCACATGTCTTTCAGTTCAACATTTTAGGGGGGAACTAACTGCTCTGTTCTGCCTTCTCAGTCCCGACGAAGGAGGGCGACTGGTCCGGCTCCGGCAGCTCCTGGGGGCCGGTGGAGCTGGTGGCGGTCATCGCCGGGCCGGTGTTCCTCCTCTGTGTGCTGCTGATGGTCGGCGTGTTCCTGTTCCAGTACCACCAGAGGGCCTACAGCCACAGGCAGAGGCTGGAGGTGGAGGACCCGTCCTGTGACCACCTGTACATGGCTAAGGACAAGACCCTGCAGGACCTCATCTATGACATGTCCACCTCCGGATCCGGCTCTGGTCAGTGCAAGCGTCTCTCTGATGTCACACGCTAATCTAATTGGAATACACATTTTAATTGTTTTTTTTTGTCAACAACAACAACATTAGCACAATTGTCTGCTGTGGGTAATGTTATGGAAATACAAATAAATGATTTAACTGGAGCATTAACTAAACATTTATCCGTTGTCTGGAATTTGCTGAGCGTTTCCAGGCATCTAAAACAAGTTTTAATAATAATGTCAGCTAATGTTTAGTTTGTCTCTGCTGCCCCCTGTAGGTCTGCCCCTGTTTGTGCAGCGGACTGTGGCAAGGACCATTGTGCTGCAGGAGATCATAGGAAAGGGTCGTTTTGGGGAGGTGTGGAGGGGGAAATGGCGAGGAGGAGACGTGGCGGTGAAGATCTTCTCCTCCAGAGAGGAGCGCTCCTGGTTCAGAGAGGCCGAGATCTACCAGACAATCATGCTGCGCCACGAGAACATCCTCGGATTCATTGCAGCGGACAATAAAGGTCAGGACTATTTAAGTAGACACTTATCAGTAAAAGTACCATTTGGAAATAAATAAATCCATTATTGGAGTAAAATAGTAATCTACATGTTACCCTGCATGATGCTTTCTTCCAGACAACGGTACATGGACTCAGCTGTGGCTGGTGTCAGACTATCATGAGCACGGCTCTCTTTTTGACTATCTTAACCGCTACTCCGTCACCATCGAGGGCATGATCAAACTGGCCCTGTCGGCCGCCAGCGGCCTGGCCCACCTGCACATGGAGATCCTCGGCACTCAGGGTAAGATCCGCCTCCACCTCAAAGCACCATGTAGAGGTCGACCCAACAATTGGCTCCGTCCACCTCTAGACATGCATGATGATGATGATTGTAGTCATAATGATAATAACCAGCTGGGACTATAAAGTTAAGTGAGGCAAACCAAGCAGGTGAGCTGAGCTCTTGATGCAAATGATGTGTTGTCTGTTCTCCTGCAGGTAAGCCGGGCATCGCTCACCGGGACCTCAAGTCTAAAAATATCCTGGTGAAGAAGAACGGCATGTGTGCCATCGCTGACCTCGGCCTGGCCGTCCGCCACGAGTCCATCACAGACACAATCGACATAGCGCCCAACCAACGCGTGGGCACCAAGAGGTAAGTGGGCCAAAAAGCACACAGGTGGAGGCGTACATGAGGTCATTTTTAACTGCTAAGTCTCATGATGTCTCAACATCATGAGGCGATCACAGTAGTGAGACACTATTGGGCAGAATAAGTCTGACCTTTAACACCGTCGCTTTTGGCAAATGATTTAATCTCTCAAATATTTGTGAGCCGTTTTCTCCCTTTTTTCGCTTGTACCCTTTGTGCAGTGGGTCAAACCTGCAAGTAGAAGCGTTGTCTTTCTATAACAAATCGTGTGTGTCTGGTGTCGTCCCTTTGTGTCCACTTTCAGGTATATGGCTCCAGAAGTCCTGGACGAAACCATCAACATGAAACACTTTGACTCCTTCAAGTGTGCTGACATTTACGCGCTGGGCCTTGTGTACTGGGAGATAGCTCGCCGCTGCAATGCAGGAGGTACGACCACAAAGGGCGGCGGGTTGGTGGGTGGGGGCGGGTGGGGTGTATTATTTCAATGAACCTGTCAAATGAAAGGAAGCATGAAACCAGCGACTGAGAAGGCTTTCTCGTCGTGTGCTGCAGGGATCCACGAGGAGTACCAGCTGCCCTACTACGACCTCGTGCCCTCTGACCCCTCCATAGAGGAGATGAGGAAGTTGGTGTGTGAACAGAAGCTGAGGCCCAACGTGCCCAACTGGTGGCAGAGCTACGAGGTATTTGTACAAACGCACCATGAGGTCAAGCTACAGGAGAGCATTAAATCACTGGTTCTGTATCCAGAGGCATCAAACTGACCAGGATGCTTTGTAATGAAAGTATTGATGAAATAATAGGGATGAAAAGTTTAGTGCGCTACCGTTTAATATTGTCAATATTTTGTCAATTGTAACTACCAGAAAACTCTGCTAGTAGGTGTCAGTTTTGGACTAAAACGTTTTCCCCCTGCAGTCTCTGCGTGTGATGGGTAAGATCATGAGGGAGTGCTGGTACGCCAACGGGGCGGCCCGGCTGACGGCGCTGCGCATCAAGAAGACCCTGTCTCAGCTCAGCGTGGAGGAGGACGTCAAGATGTGAGCGACGGCGAGGCGTGTGCCGCAGACGCACAACCAGACCGCACTCCCATAGGAAACGCACCCTACAGACGGACCGCAAAGGAAAACCCTGCCAGTTTGAAAGCCACACTCCAAGTCGTGACGAGGCCTACCTCACCTTTTTAGCCCAAACTACTGAGTCACCCCCCCCAACCCCCACACTGGCCCCCCTTTTGACTTTACTGCATCCCTTTTCTTCGTTCCTCGTCTCCACCACTACCACTGTTAATATCATCTGTTATTTTCAGTTCCCCATGGCAGGAATTACTACTATTGTACAGCGACGGGACGATTTAGATTGATCCCTCTTACCTCTCTGGAATACGTCCCATGACGGGACTAAAGTGCGTGTGCATGTGCGTGTGTGTGTGTGTGGGGAGGAGACGGTGTCTGGACTACGGGCATGTTTCCAAGACGTCCTCTGGTTTAGGCTGTAGCTCATAAGACAGATCCGGTAATGGGACGTTTAAAGCATGGAACCCCAGAATCTGCATTTTGAACCCCTCGCTTGAACATCCTTCAAACGGAGACGAGCTGCTCTCCGCTGTAGCTTCCTCTGCACCTGCAGGTGTGACGTAGCCCCCGTGGTCCAGTCCTTGTGTTGGATGGAGATGTGACGGGGATCATGTTTGGGATGGTTTGACTTTTATTTATTTGTCAATAGTTTTTGTTTTTTTGTTTCATATTGATGAACACTGTGAGATGAGATGTGACGAGTCCAATATGATATGAAAATTAATGTAGTTCCGTCAAGTCTTTCAGATGTTAGAATAAAGGGGTTGTTGTGTTCATTTTAGTAAGAAACTGAGCATGCCCCCCCCCCCCTCTGAGTGTGACAGGCGATGACATCATTCACCCGTAGCAAATTAGAGGCGTATGAAATGGAAAATACAGTTTTCTTTTTTTATATATATATATTTTTTTGTGTGTTTTGTTTAGAGACATCCTTTGACATTAGACACTACTGATGATGGGTACATATGGGTTTTATATAAAACATGCATTTCTTTTGGACATCTGAACAGCGATTTAGCTTTAAGGGTACTTTCAGAGGGCTGTTTTGACTCGTCTGCATGTTTCTCAGACGTCATTTGCTGGAATTTGTTTTCAATTTGCTCCTAATGGCAATTTGGTGGTACTACTGATCCCAGATCATTTTTGCTGCAGCCTGTTATTGTTGTTCTGTATAATTGCTTGTCGAGCTCTTTTCAGAGTTCAGTAAGGCAGATTTGTTGCTACATGATGTCGTGCGGGGGGAGCGGGGGGGAGGAGGAGTCTCCCTTTCATTTGACACTGGAATATTTCGACGCCTCGCGTTGATTCATCGACATAAAGGCCGCTGCTGACAGTTCGCCCACAGGGAACACGCGGCCCGATGTGAAAGGTGCTTCTGCGTGTTTTCATCCTCCTCAGTCGTCTGTCTGTGAATGATCTATAGAAGTAACACTGTCCGGTCCGCCTGGGCTTTACTTTACTTAACGTTAGTTGTGTCATCACTCCACCCAGAGTCCGTGTCATGTTGGAACCCTGTTTTTTTTTTTTGTTGCTGCATGCTGTCCCCAAACACTGGGTCTTCTGCACTGAAGTAGATCAATTGAAGACTCGTCTTTTCGTTCTTTTCTGTGGACCCACAAAAATGTTGCTGCTACTGTTAACATGGGTGGAAGTTCTGGGATCGAAAAGAGGGCGACTGCTGTCAGTTGAACCAAAAATTGTCGACACACTCCTGTCCTTTGGCTTGTTGCCATGGGTGTATGACCATCACACATCCTGTTCACAACACTTCATGATTTCAAAAATGATTTTGTGCAAATCTTTTGTGAATTGGTTTAAAGGTGTATATAGATATACAATAAAATCCTTTTTTTCTTATTGAGGACTTCAACTGTGGTGCTCATTCAGGACTCATGCGTTGTTTACATCGTCACGCTCTGCTCGAGTGGAAGAAGGTTAACATGCAGACAGCAAAGTCCAATCAGTACTCGTGGTAAATGTCCTGAAGTGAATTGGCCCCGATTTCTCCAGCTGCAGAGCGCTGCCACGCAACGTCAGCAAGCTACAGTTGTTTTAGTTTCGTGGCCAAACTGAAAGTTTGAAATAGTGTGAAAGGTAACTTCCCAGCCAAAACTGTTTCTCAGTTATTGTACGTTTGTGTAATTAACAAAAGACCTGGATCCTCTGCCGGCGGCTACGAGCTTTTCTTGGGCGTCAATACCTCGTAAAGAAAAAGAATCCACACATATTTAAAATGCATTTTATTTTCCTTTACAAGAAACCAAAGCAGACAAAGAAATAAGATGGAGGGCAAAGGGAGTGGGAAAGCTGTATATAAAGAGATGCAACCTCTGGCGTCCTGAAAAAAATATGTACAATTCAAAATAATATCCATACAAAACATGCCACATACAATAAAAATGATCATTATATTTATTCATATTCCCTAAAAGTATCTCTGCTGTACAGATGCAACATCTTTTTAAAAAGTAGGTGAGGTTTAAAAATAACCTTCAATTTGAGCAAATTTTTTTTTAAATTATAAGATATGCAGAGAATTTAAATTAAGATTCAGAGAAGTTAAAAATGATTCAGGCTAAATCCAGTGAGCGGCTTAATGTCTCGTCATGGTCTTCCCTTGAAATAGAAACATACCAAAATATATATATATATATCACTGCTTCAGATACTTTATCTACCACTTTAGAGAAGTTCTCCGTTATACTATGAGAGTGCAATTCATTACCAGGTTAAGTATGGGATTAACTTTGAGCATTACATCATAACATACATTAGGCCGAGTAACCATTTCACAAGGTTTACCAACACATTCACTTCTATAGGGAAGATATAAAAGGCAAAACACTAACAATATTCTAGGGAATTCAAGGTTTTCCATTCAAGAGTATATTTATCCAATTGTGACCAATTAAGGGACAGGTTTTGGTAATCAACGAGCAGTAGCATAAATAAAAATAAACACGGACAATTTTACATAAATACAAATACTATGCACCATTGTACTGCTTTACGCAAGAAGTGATTTTCAGGTCTAATTAACGGCCCTCCACATGAATCCAAACCGTTTTGTAATCACACCGGCTTCTCGTCGCAATTGATTTGAGAAGACCAGACATGTTTCTCAAACCTATTTTAACAAACTTGTCTGAGAGCTTATAGCAAAAAACACTAATAGAAAAACAGGAAAATGCAAAACACTCTGGTTCATATACATAAAGATATTAGTTTGCCATTTTACATATATTTATATTTATATACAGCTTTATCTTTGTTAAAATGATATCCAGTGGTTGATTTTTTTCAATTTTATTTCTCTACACTTTTGACTTTATTGAGTACAAAGGGGCTGGATAAAGAGTTGCTGTCCCCTAATGCATATACCATATATACAGTTTGTACAACTTTGCATTTTGAATTCATGTGAGGTCTCAGGTTCGGGAAAGGGGGGAGGAAACAAAGTATTACGGGAAGGAGGAGTTTTAGTAAAGCTCCCTTTTAAAGACTTTTTTCATTCATCTTACATAGAAATGAATACAAATGCCCTTTTTTTTTTTTCTTCCAATAAGCCTTTCCCTGCCATCAGCGGCGCCTCGAGAGGACAGTACCAGCACTAGAAAAGCACACGACGAAGGAGTAGAAACACTGCAGGCTGTACTCAGGCAGAGGAAGACGTACTACAGTAAAGTTCAACAACAGTCCACTGAATATCAAGAGAGGAAGAGGCATGATTAAAAGTTCAAAGGTTGAGTCGAGAAAAGACTGACTTTAAGGGGGAATAAAAAGCATTTAATGGGACAGTAGTCATGCATCCACCGGCTGGTTTGCAACAAGTGGTACTTCAATGTACGAAGCAACAGGCAAATGTACTTGGGATAGTTTTGGACGTGAGGGTCTTCTGTGCCCTGCGACCCTCGAGCCGTCCACTCACACCAACGCTGTCTGCAGGCAACTAATAAAAGGTTGATGTTATTGTGCTTTCACACAGCTGATGAACATGATTTTCCAGAAGCATAAATAAAAAATAAAAAATAAAAAAAAGCTACATCCGGGGGGGATTTGGTGGCACACAGGACACCTGCTAAGCTTCTGATTGTGATTTTAATGCAATATCTTATCAAAACTGTCATATATTTCCTCTGTATAAACAATTAATGAATAATAATTATGTTGGCTCATTATTGTAAATCATTATCAGCATAAAGTAGATAGAGCAAACCTGCTGCTTAAAATTCCCTGCTTGTCCGAGAAGGCTAAGCCCATAAAAACATTGCCCCCAACCCCCCCACGCCCCCCCAACCCCCCCCCTTCCACAGTAGCAGTTAACAGTTTTTATACAAAGCAGTCGCTTCCCACTAAATCAATGAGGTAGACTGGGTCCAACTAACCCACCTTGGGACTCCACACAGTCAGAACATCTGGTTCCTCTGAAACCACAGATCAATAGCATCTCAAATGTTATATTAACATACATCTTTTTTTCCTTTTCTCATCGATCGGATGTAGTTCTTACACAGAGCCACATCAGGATTGTCTAGCTAGCCAATATCCGTGTTGTCTTCATTGATGACTTGATGGGAAAGTGCCGTTTCTGGGAGGTGAGGTCAGGCGGGACAGGAAATAGGTCCGACTTAAAACATGAAAATGCATCATTAGTTCATTCTTAGTATTTCAAAATGGCTTTTTGTCGAAGCTCCAGCTGAGCTCCTGAATACGTGTACGGATATCAGACGGTCAGAATCATTTGGTGGATGTTGAGGATTGTTTGCCAGCTGCTGACAGATTATTGAGAACAGTCGTGCGGGGGGGGAGAAGGGGGGAAGAGAAGGGTTTTGGCTGAGGAAAAGGTGATTCACTAGTCCATACATGGAAGTTAGTCCCACCATTAAGCTGCTGTAGATGGGAGGTGGTCAGATGCTTTTTATTGATTAATGCTATTTCAAACCTTTGGCTACAGGTGTCAACGCTTAAGTCTTTCTAAGACTGAGGGCCAGCTTTCCTCCATCAGCTTATGAACTGGATAGGATTCAAAGGCTTTGGCGCGAGAATGTTCTGGCACCAGTAAGAGGGGACGTTTCCACGTTCCTTTCTTCTGGTTAGTTCATCCACTTTCGGCAGTTCCAGGCTCCACAATGGCAAGGGATCTTGTGCTGATCGTCCTCGAAGTCAAACTGGTAGTCGTAGGTCAGCTGGAAGCAACAAATGAAGAAGGTCAATGAGGAAAAGAAGAGAGACGTACGCATGAGTGGGTGGAGGGTAGTTCTCTAACGCAGCGCACCTCTTCTCCCTTGGGGATTCTGCGGCTCGAAATGATGATAATCTTGTCTTCTTTGTCAAATGTCACAACTTCCGCAACACAGTTCGGAGCACACGAGTGGTTGACGTAGCTAGAAAAGAAACACATGTGTGAGTCTTTTTTTAATTTTTTTTAATTTTTTATTTCAATGAGGCAACAAATCACAAACACTCACCGAGCTGGACCTCCTGTCAGGGTGGCATCAATCACCTGCTCGTTGTTGATGCGGAACATGTAGATACCGCGGTTCTACGTAAAAAACAAATTGAACAGTTGATACACAAAAAAAAAAGAAAATCCTTAAACATCAACCCAAACTGATCCTATTTTCACTTTTACACTCGTGCCAGTGTTCAACTGACATACCTGAAACTCGTAGATCTTCTCCCGGCGATTGGCCACTTCGTTGCGTATCACGGTGCCGATGTACTCGATGACCATGGTGTGCTTCTCCAGGTCCTTGGCGGCGTACAGGCCGAGGCCCTGAATGCGCGAACGCGCCAGATAGACGTTGTTCTTCCACTCAGTCTTCAGGCGTCGATACTGGGACGACTTGGAGTGGACAAACTGTTTGCTGTACGGCGTGTTGAGCTCTCCCGTGAAGGTACTCTGGTAGGCCTTTGAGACGCTGGTGCTATTTAGCGTGTGAGGCCTGAAGACAAAAGAGGACGCTGAGTGGGTTTCTGCACATTTAGGCTTTTGACTCACCGACAGAAAATCACATCTTATCAAGAACGCTTTTTATTTATTAGAAGGAATGTTACAAGGCAGAGGGCCAACTTATAATTACGGACATATTGAGATAGTGATATAGTACCAACATATTAAATTAAACTTCTTGTAGCGTATTGCTAAAGGAATGCTGCGTTACCTCTTGCACTGCGTGGGGACTTTTGGCTCAGAGCGAGCCGAGCCGGAGGGATTGATCATCAGCGGGAGCTCCATCAGAGGGTGACGGCCGTATCGAAACAGGTAGTTCTGGCACATCTCTACTCCGGGCAACTAAAACACAACGAGGACAAATCAGGTTAATCATGAACTTAGACAGTAGAACCAATGTTTAAGTCAGGTCTTCATTCTGCGTGTGGTGAATAAAATGTAATGTCTGGAGATGCAGCCAGCAGTCAGTTTTCATAGTGTTGTTGTTGACTTGCATGAAGCTTTCAAGCTAATCAAAAGAGAAAATTGTATTGGGAATATATTGCATTAAAAGGAAAGAGAAAAAAAATCGTTTGAAGATGTTCTAACATAAACACTAAATGCAAAACACTAACGAGTCGTGTTAACCTCCTAAAAATCTAAATGTTTCCAAGTCCGTGGTAGTTTGGCATCAGCTGACTTTTCCAGCTTTGCAAAAAAACAAAATAAACAGGAAAACGATCAGATTTATAGGGAACAGAGGGATGAAGGTTCCTGCTGAATATTCTTACCGACTCGGTGATCCGCATGACAGCGTGCACCGTCAGGCCGTACATCTCCTCTCCTTTCACGTGTTCGGTGAACAGCTTCAACATGGAGGAGTCGTCTCGGAGTTTAGCCACTTGCTGAACCACCCGTTCCCAGATG